TGGGAACAAGGGACTCTGTTTTAGGGTTAATTTTCAAAATTTACCTGTTCACACGGAACATCAAAATTTGGTTACACTGTACATTCCATTGTTTTTAGAGGTGTGAATGACTTATGACAATATCTGATATTGAGGAGCTAGTGTTTATTTGAATGAGATTAGGATGAGCCAATTGTCAACACGATGGAACATCCCACCCACTTTTTAATTACTCTGATATGACAATCTGTTTATATTAATTGCCATGACGCTAATGCACTCTTTCAACAAAGCTGAACTTTACCCGACCAGTTGAGACAATCTAGAGATTGACATTTTTTAGAAATAATAGAAGTGTATTTATGTATTGTTGAGCAAAATCTTTTTTCATTTTTCAATGACCCAAACTTGTAGAATATAAATGCTATGAAATGGTGCTGATGAAACTTGAATTTCAGTTCTTAGCAATATCTTTCTTTACATCACATCTATACTTCATCATCTAGATATCAACAGAGGTCGTATCTTATTGTTTTAGTAATCACATGTACAGAATAAAATGCTCATAATAATCATGCTTATTCAGCAATTTCTTGAGTTGGCCCAGCGTATGGACCCTCTCTATATGGAACACTTGTCAACAAGGAACAGTTTTGTCCAATCCAGAAAGCGATCCTTCTTCACAGGTTTTACTGTGTAAGTAAAAAATATTTTGCAAGTCATTTCACTTCACACAACATTACAGTTTGATTTTTAATATATTATGAATTAGTAATTAGGCTATATTTTGGTCACCCAATTTTTTCATCTTTGAAACACCCGAGTTAAAAGTCTGTCTAAATGTTTGGTTGACCACCCATTGAATTAAACTAAAAGTAAACCATGTTCTCCAATTGTTACTATAATTTATGGAACAAACAGGGTGTGCCAAAAAATCGTGCAACTTTTTAAGCTAGAAAGTTGCATTAGGTATTGATATAAACTACAGAAACTTAGGGAAAGCCATATTTTACCATTAAAATACAGTACTTAAGCTCGTACTGACTTAAATTTTTGATTTTTTTCTTCGGATCTCAATGGTAAATTGTTCATGTGTCCAAGATTTATCATTTTTCACAAAATGTGACTTTCTATGATTTTATGTGATCAACTACAGGGTGTCCGGAAAGTAAAGATACAAATGCTCTAATTTCAATAGATTTACCTGTTGTGAGATGAAATTGCTACAGATTGTAGAATGACATTTTAACAATCAATCCTGCAACTGTCATGACAAATTGTTTTAAAATGAAAAAGTTATGGTTGTTATGGTAACGGTAGTCCCGGGTATGTGGAGCAGCGTCACAATTATGTTTTATAATTCTTTTCTCCTACTCATACCATCTTTACACTTCATCAACCATCTGTTGCTATTATACATCAAATTATGTACCACAACAGCAAAAGAAGTAGTACTGTAACATTATTTTGGTCATTTGACATTGTAACTACTGTTAGCCAGTATTATGTATTTTCCAACATTATCTAAACATTTGTGGTGCATCTTGACCAGAGATTCATAGACCTGACAAAACCGCTGCTGTCCTCTCAGATTACTGATAAAATTGGCTTCAGCAGAGTCTCATTTTCATGTTGAACTTCTAACAAATATTGTTTTAAGATATTCATTCATGAAGAAGTCCAATAGGACATTATCATGGTAATATGGGCCATTGTACAAAAAGGTTAATGTCAAGACATTCAATTGTAAGATTTGTTTTCTTTGGTTTATGAATTGGTGCATCGTGAAGGTGCAACATTGACTTTCCTATTAATCCAGGGACCTTTTTTCTAAGCACTGATATAATGTTTCTTTGATTAAACTGGTTAGTGACATTACATAGTTCTGATATGTATCAGTGATATCATTATACTAAAGAGAATACTATGGCAGCAAGAATACAATTTTGAACAAAACAAAATATTGATAGGAAATACAATAATAAACACTGTTTCAAATGGTTAAGTTCTAGCAATTCATGACAATTTAGCGATATCATGGAACTGCTCCGCATACCCCTGACCACCGTAACCATGACAATCGTAACTTTAACACATTAAGACTTTATGTTATAAAAGTTGGTAGATGTATTGTAATATAGTTCCTCTACAATCTGTAGCAATTTCATTACAAAAAACCTAAATCTCTTAAAATTAGAGTGTTTGTATCTTTACTTTCCGGACACCCTGTAGTTCACAAAAAGTTGTAAAAAGAAATGACGGACCCACGGTCCTGTGCTCACACAGTTTGGAACCTTCAGAGGAATGTATATCCGTACTTTCAAACAAAAATATTGATTTGGATTTGTAGTCTCGAACTTTGAGAAACTTAGATAGCACAGTTGTGTGACCTAGTTTGATGACCTTTGACCTCGAAAATTTTACTTATTCAGAGCTCAGTAAGGTCTTTTGTGTTTAAGCTGACCAAAATTCACATCCAAAAATCAATTTGAAAAATCAACTTTTTTGATCTTTCGAAGGTCACTGAAGGTCAAATCCTAAGACTAGTGTCAGATTTGAACTCCTGGCAACTTGTAGATGATTTTCAAAAAAAATTGGTTGAATTGAAAATAACTTATTTTTACTGTTTTTTACGTCAAATATCTCAAAAGGGTAAAAATTTGATGCTGACATATATTGAGCAATATGTAGGGAATGCCTAAATCTAGTAATGATGTAATTCATTGCAAGAAATGATCAAGTATAAGGCAAACTTTGAGAAACTTGTCAATCACAAAACCTGCCATTGACTTTATACATGAGAAAGTTTCCTGAAAATGACTAAGTCCTACTTTTTGTCAAATTTTATGGAGTAAACGCCAAAAACTGTAATTCCAAGAGCTTTGAAATCTTCAGAAGACATAAGTTGCATATACAGCAACTACTACAAGTTATTTGAAAGTTCTACTTCAACAAAGTGTCTAGTATTTATAGAAAATTTGACTTTTTGACGTCAAAATCAGCAATTTCTCGGAAACTGGGTGAACTTGAGAAATGGCGATGATAGGTCAAATAGGCATTATGGATATGCATAAAATGAATGTGGATATGACTCAATCCGAATAGCAGTTTTAATTTGTGCGGCCAATGTTGAACGAAGGAAGGATGGATGGACCAACGGATGGACGGACGCCTGGTCGATCCCATAGGCTCACTGTGTGAGCCAAAAATAAATAAACTTTATTTGCATTTTCAAAATCAGCATAACTCTAACCATATTTTCTGTTGTAAAAAAGGTATTTATTTCACTAATAGTAGTACAGTAAAACTACAAGATACAGGATCTAAACAGTAACATTTGATATAATGATGCCAAAATAGCCCCAGTTTTTGAAATAAACTTCTGGATAAATACCCTACTAAATTCTATAAGGGTTAAACCTGTCATAAGGGTGTATCACAAGGTATTTTGATCTCCTAATCAAGCCATGGGCAACTTATGCTGAAATAAGCCTATATGCTGAAATAATAAGCTAGTCCAATTCTGGGCCTAAGTTAATGTCACACCCTGTTGACATATCTTAACCGTTTGTTTCTGTTTATTTGATATTTTAACCCAAAACCTATTTTAAGTTATTCTTACATAAATCATTATTGACATTTATATATTGTCTACAAAAGTTCATTGTCATTCATATCGGAATATTGAAATATTAGTATAGCCACCAATACACATTTAACATATCACATACTTTAAGTTACCCCATTCTCTTGTGCGCTCAAAATATTAAGGTAGGCAGAGTAGAATGTGAATTTCTCCTCTGCTTTAGAATCACACTATCAGATGTGAACAAGAGGTCAATCTTTCACTCTGACTTTACAAACATATAAACCTATAACTTGAACAACATATAACTTTCACCAACACTTTGGAACAAATCTTTTTATAAATATTACAGTTTGAAAAGATTTAGATCAACCCATTGATGGTACAGAGTGCAGTCTTATGGGTAATTTAGGATATATTCGGTTCAGAGTTGGAGACTTAAGACTTAATTCCTAGATTTAACTAGGCAAAGTCAAATAAATAATGCTTATGTGTATGACTGAAATACATACCTCTTGGTAGAATTGAAATGATCTAGCTGGCATTTGGAAAAATATGAGATCAGCATCTTACAGAAATATTTGCACGTGACTTGCCAGCAAAAGGTACACTATTATACAATATACAAACCATGAAAAAATATATTTACAAATAAATGACCATGTTACTGGTAACTAAAAATATACATGATGTTTACATAATGGTTACACATGGCGTTTACATTAATATCACCAGTGTACCCATTTCATAATTCAAAATATTCACATACTGTTATAAAAATATTTTACATAACCACTATTACCATTCTACTTTTGCACTTCGGACAATTGAATTATCAAAATATCAAATCAATACTTTTGATTGATACCCATTATATAAGATCCCAAAGTTATGACATTTACAAATTCCAGACGTAAAGTGTACATTTAATACCATTAATATGACCAAAGAATCCTGGAAATGTGTAGTTCTTGAAGGTATGAATCAATTTATCATTCAAATAAAACTCTATGTACACCTGCAAAAGACAGACAAGACTCCGATGTCATTGAAAACAGGCCTTGATTGTTCTTTGGAAATGATTTTTGATTCTTCATTGAGAACATTAGTCTAGTAATTCAAAAATAATCTAAACAGATCAGACATCCAATATTCATTGAGGAATTCAGTTTTAGTGTAATGTTCAATCCCAATCAATTACTCAGATGCGAGTAGGTAGTTTCCACTTTTGCCACCAGGTGGCTGATACGGGGGAAATAACATGGCAGGGTATTACAAAATTCCCATAAACTTGAATAATCATCAGTTTTAGTGGTTCACTTTTCATATTACCCTTATGTATCTGATAGTCATACAAATTAAAATATATCCAGTAAAAGAAAATATTACCTGCTCAACACAAGAACAGATATTTCACTTTTTGTGATGAATTTTGAAAGTTGATAAACTCTTCAAAACCACATTTCTAGATGTAATTTTACATGTTATGACATCAGTTTAACTGAATTTTGAATTTCTAATGAAATAAATCAAGATTATTTCTACTCGCATCTGGTGTATTTTGGCCTCCAATTTTGATTTTGGAAATAGATCTCTATTTGGACATATTCATTTGGGCATTCATTTTGCATTGAAAACTGATGTCCATTATTCATAGAGGCATCTAAAAACAGACCTCTATTATTCATGAAGAACTGGTGTTCTCTCAACAGGTTGATCAGGATTCACTTGATCCTGTTTTAACAAATTATCTCCCTTTAATAATTCCATCAAGAGACTAGATGCTGGAGCATCATTCACAATTTCATGGGCAGCAAGTCTTTGTTTCCCAATTGCGCAAAGTTTTGAGATTTCTGATAACCTGAGAAGCATTTGTCCAAACTTGTTCGGAGTCTGAGGACTATGTGTTGCTGTATATGTGATTAAAGCATCAGTGATCTTTTCCTGGTAGTCTCGAACCACTGCCTGATCCTTCAAACCTTTCACATCTGGAATAACATAAAATATATAAATGTTATGTAGGTTGAAACTGAAATTTAGCCTTTTTAACCCACTGCTGCCTACAATGATTTAACATATTTCTCCAGCCTGTGTTAAAGGGGGAGCTCTTGATAAAAATCTAAAATTCAACTAAATATGCTCAAAAAATGACATTTAGGTGCAGTACAACACATTTTATTTTACATATTTTAGGACGCAAAAAGGATTTGATAAGAAGAATTTAGATCTCAATTAGCATTGCAGATTTGAAATTTCTAAAAAGTGGTATCAATGAATCTGTAGTATTTTGAAATCTGAATAAATAATATGTGTTCACTGCACCAGTTTTAAATCTAATCATTACAAAAATGTTTAACAATTTTACACACTATGATGCAATTGTGAATTGCCAGACAAATACAGTATGTCAAATGCTAAACCCTCACATCGGTTAGCCAAACTAATATAACTACCATGTTATTTCCTATTGTTATAGAATACCACATGAGGAAACATGTGCTTTTGCTTATCACATAGATTGAATATAATGGTATTCAGTTATCTTCATACAGATAGCTGCTCTCACATGTTAGTGTATGCTTCAGGTCTTAATTGTTACAATACAGTCACACATGTTTAGTGTGTACACTTTTGTACAAATGCAGAATATTGCATTAGCTTTCCATAAAAGGTGAGACAAAGGTGCTCACAGAGATGGATCTTGCTGTGTTAACTGATGTGGATTTTGTTATCTTGATAAGATAAACCTAGACCTTTAAGAAAAATGTCACAATTGATCATGTTAAAAAATGAAAAACATAGGTCTAAAAGAATAAACAAGCAATGGAAAAGGAAATAAAAATGTAACCAACACTCTTAATTGAATAGAAATGAAAGATAATCAGACAATTCATTCAGACTTTATAGAGAAATCACTTGAAACAGACATGATTCAAATGACATTTTTCATGAATGCCCCCTGCCATACAATAGTTACAAAACAATCATTGGTTATGAAACCCAAGACTCCTCTGGGTAAAATTGGAGTCATGATCATGGCAATTCCTCTCAAAATTGTGAGTCATGAACCTCATTTTGGGTATTTTGGCATAATCAAGAATAAGGAGTACATAAGGAGTACCAATCTCTGTCCCTCTTTATTTCATTCCTCACTTAATGTTCCATTTTAATTATAATTTGCAGTTAAGGAAATAGCCACTGTGACTTTCTTTCATGGGTTTGAAATTGTATATAAACCCCAAATTTCTGACATATCTTTACAAGTTGCTCCAAGCTCAACCAACATACAACAACACGGACAATCTCAACCAACGTGAAGATCAGCAAGATGACGACAAAACTGATGACTGCAGCCCTCCTGGTGGTGCTCCCAAGCATCTGCTTAGGCTTTCTCCTTGAGGATATCTTTGGGAAACCCCCAGCAACAGTTGAAGGTGTCGACGTTTCAAAATATCTTGGCAGATGGTACCAGGTCTATTCTAACAACAATCTCTGGAACTCTTTCCTGAGGAACGCTGTCTGCATCACAGCTGACTACAGAGCTATCAACGCAACTACCATCTCAGTACTGAACTCAAACCGTATCAAGACCCCAAATGGCCCTTTGGATCAGATCACAGGATTCGGATACAAGACAGAGACTGAGGGACAACTTCTTGTAGAACTTTCTGGAGTCCCAGTACCAGCACCTTGTAAGTAGACTAAGTCACATTGAAAATATGTCCATCGTTAGCCTACTGATTTTTTCTCACTTATATGTTGACCCTCAATATGGACAGACTGTCATTAAAGTTCATGAATGGAAAAAATGACTTTAGAGGTGTTATGTTTAGTTTTAAATGTTGCCCCTCAGACTAAACCAAATCTATTAACTCCTTCCTTCCTTTTGTGAATTTCAGAGGATATACATAATATTATCATATCACTACACAGATATACATTTCAAGGATAAATCACTTTTTGTAAAGTTTTTGTCATCTCTATTGTTTTCTGATTATACTCGTATCAGATCAGATAAGTACCACAAAATAGATTAACACAAAGTCACATTTTATTCCAGATTGGATTCTCAAGCTTGGACCAGTCGTGAATGGCCAATACCAATACTCCATAGTGTCAGACCCAATTCGCTTTACTCTATTCGTTCTCGCCAGAGACCCACAGGATTTTGCTGAGAAGTACGAACAAGAGGTCTTGAGCTACTTGGAAGGAGAGAAATTCACAGATGTTGAAAACAAGCCAGAGAAAGTCTACAGTGAAAAGGATTGTCTCTACGCTGATGTACCCCCACAGTAAAACTCCTATATATTGAGAACCACAACCATTGAATACAGCCTAATTTATTGATATTTATTTTTTGTACTTGATATGATCTGAATAAATCCATGTATATGATATAATAGAAATATTCTAGTTTTAGTTGCTTTTTAAGTCAACTTAACCAACATGGAGGTACATGAAGTTTACTAGATAGTAGAAAGTATTGTAAAATCTGAAATCTGAATGCCACTGGGACCAGCCAAAAGTGTTCGGAATGGCAGGCATTCGGATATACAGGTTTTATTGTACATCAAAATCATAGCGCGCATTGGTAATATATATTTAAAAAGTCATAATATCACCTAATATCATATAAACATAATTTCACCTCCTCTTGCACACAGCACTGAAGTGTGAGATATTAATTCTAAGGTAATTCATTGCTATGTTTGCTATGAATAGAATACATGTACATGAAACAAAAACTCCCATATTTATTTATATAAAATCATTCAAATAATCAAATCTCAGGCTCACCTGGTGACATAAGCAGCAAGACTTTCAAGCAGACAAACTCATGCTGATCAATCTTAAGTCGTCTAATGTGCTCCATGATACCCAACATCCGACTAAGGACTTCCTCAAAGTTGATTCCCCTAGCTAGAGCCATATCTAGCTGTTTGCCATTACACAAACGTATTGTCCTGGTCCGCAGCTCCTTGGACTGCCAACAGAGGGTAAGACATAACAGCTCTGCCCAGCAGTTCTGGAGCAACATGATCTGATCTTCTGTCTGGAAAATTGAAAACCATTTAACCAATACAAAGTGGTGATTTGATTTGTGAGAAAAACTTGCACAGTCAATAGGAGTAATTCAGAGTGGGAGATGGGATTAAAAACAAGTACACAAGTATTTTGTCACTTGTATTCTTTAGGTTTATTCAAAATCATTCCATAGATTACAGCCCTCATATTTTGCAGTTCTAAATCAAAGTGAGGTCAGAAAACTATAGTAATGATCAAATCAATTCAATGTAGGGTGTTTCATTTTTGAGCTTTTTTCTGATCAAGCTCTTCTTTTGCCCAGCTGGTCTCCTGATAGTTCTAACCAAGCACAAACAATTTCAGCCAAATCTGTTGACATTTAGACTCCCCTGAACAACATTTTCCTACGCCCATTCACTACCATGTTAATAATGGTCTGAAAATTGAAAATAAAATCTGAAAATGTCAATTTCATCATATTTAAGACCCATGTTCTATCAAAAACACTACAGCAATTTGTATCAAATTCATCTAAAATGTTGTTCAATATGTTCTTGATCTATGGTAAAGACTTTGTGATGGTACTTTGCAGAAATTGTCAAATTCATCATGTTTGACCCCAGTGTTCTACCAAAGGCACTTTTCATCAAAGTCACCTATAATGCAAAATGGGCATCAGAAAATGTGGCACGGGGAGGTCTAAACGTCAACGGATTTGGCTGAAATTATTTGAGCTTGGTTAGAACTATCCAGAGACCAGCTGGGCAAAAGAAGAGCCAGTATAGCATATCAGCATTCTACCCAAAATTTGGTCTTAACCAAATCAAATTTTGTGGGAAATAAAATAATGCAGAGCTCTTACACTGGTGAGCATGAAGTCAGGTAGATTCCTCGCCCAACGCACTATCTTATACATGGCTACGTCTGCAAGAGTTAACAGTCCAGATAGCAGGTCCCCATCCTCATGTGTCCACCTCCCCTGCAGCTCTGGATCTGGGTCCTCCGCATTTAGACATGTTTCAACAGTCATTATATTGTATATGATATCAGGCACTACAGGGTTGGGTACAGGTAGCAATGTTATCGCTCCTGTAGCCTCTCCTGAACCTTCAACTATTATGTTTGGCCCTGCTGTAGTATTACTTTGGACAGTTACATGTTGCTCAACTGAGATGTTATTAGAGCTGATAGCTGATTGTGCTAGTTGTGAAATGTCCACTTGGACTGCATTGGGTGTACCAGGTACGGAATTATTTGTAGTGCTGATGTAAGCTGACATAGGGGGAGGTTTAGTTGGTGTGCATCCTTCATACGAGCTTCTACCACCGCGTTGCCTATCTTCTCTTATAGCTGAAATATACATGAAGATCATGTTTACCACAACATATCTTTAATAGTTTTAGGCTGATTTCAAGAAACATTGACAGAATACCATCAGAGAGATATCCCTTATGTTGCGGAGGTTTGGAGTAACATGATAAAGTGTGAACATCTTCCACTGTCTCTAGTTGACATAAGTAACATTCATAAATTTACATTTACCCCCCCCCCCTCATTGGTTATGTCAATACAATAGAAATTTAACAGTATTGATATTTTGTGCATATTCATGTGATTTTAAAAAATATCATGTAACAAATTTTCCCCAAAATTTTAACAGATTTAAATTATTCAAAGAAAGTACTTCTATAAAATCATATTTGAACTCAAACTGAATGAGAAGTTCAAAACCCACCTTCTATTTTCATCCCCATTAAGAGACATTTCTTGAATCTGCATGCAGGACATTTCTTCCTGCTTAACATATTGATGTCACAATCTCCATTTCTGTGACAAAGGAATGATTTTTTATTCTGAACAGTTCTTTTAAAGAACCCCTTGCAACTCTCACAGCTGTAGATGCCATAGTGATAGCCTGAAACAATGAATATACAGGGCGATTGAAACAAGAGAAGAAGGGAGATGAGAGCCATAACACAATACAGTCTGTGTTTGTGTAGTGAACAACTATCCCGAAACGTTCATATCTCCCAAAACAACACCAGTATTTTATAACATGTTTTGTAAAATGGCCATCAAAAGTGATCACTGGAAATAGACAAGATAAATTTTGTAGAAAGAAGGAGCATTGAACGAGGTTTAACTGCCAAAGTTATCAACATTTATTTGGGTTGCCTTTTTTGGCTCACCCTGTAGATATTAAATGATAAACTGAAATAAAATAAATGGTACCGTGGATACTGGGCTCACATGGTGTTGCTCAAAAGTGAATAATGGCTAAAATGGCAGAAAATAAAAAAAACTGATATATTTTTTTGCATTTTTTTTTACAAAATTATTTCATACAACTACTCTTTATAGTGACATGGCTTTTTACAATGCAGGACACCTGAAATTATTTGTAAAGCTAGGAAAAGGGCCAAAAGAGAATTTCGCAAGACAAAAAAGGAGACCATTTTGAAAATAGGTTAGCTTTTGAACCAGGAGTCATAGGGGGATTTTCTACATTGATGTTGAACAAAAATACATGTAACTTAAAACAGGAATCCTATTAACAGAGGTTTTAAAACAGGCAAATTGTTGACAGATGGACAGACAGACTGATGGGCAGACGGACAAGTGAGTGATTGCAATAGCTCACCGTGTGAGCTAATAATAAGTATGTAAGACTACGATTTCTCAAATAAAAATGTTTCATCAAATTAAAAATATAAAATAGATTTTTACCTGAACTCCTGTCTGAGCATATTGGACAAGGGCCTTTATCAAATAGGTTTATGGAACTACCAGATGGACTAACAATCTGTATGTTACCACCTCGAGCAAATTTAATGATTTTAGAGAGATCATCTACACTGGGAGCCTCAGCCCCAACATTACTTGGCTGACTTATGTAGATTATTTGACTTCCAGTAGCTTCATCTGTGCGTGCCTTCTTGGGGGATGGAGGCTTAGTAGATTCTGAGATATCACCTGCACCATTTGAGACTGCAATGTCTTGCAGCGTTGCAGATGTTAACATAGGGTTAATTGACCCATCAGAACCTTGTACAGCCACATACATTGCTTCATTTGCATTCTCAATTTCTACAGTCTGAGGAATGGGTAGATCGGCTTCTTTTTCTCGTTTGGCTCGTATATCTGATGCTATTGCACTTAAAACATTTCCCATTTGAATATCCTGGGGCTGGACCTCCTGGGAGCTTTCATTGGCAACATTAGCAACTTCAACAGGAGTTGCAGCTTCAATATTCTCAACTTCAAAGGTCTCAACAGTCTCTTCCTTGCCTTCAATATCCTCAAGGACAACAAACTGATGAGTTGATTCATTTACATCTAACTCTTCTTCTGTATCAACATTGATTGTATTTGTAGGTTGATTCAATCCATACAGAAGACTCTGTGCTTTAACCTCGGAGTCGGGAGCATCTTCCGCATTAACAAACACAATCTGCTGCTCTGTGGCTGTCGAATTCGCTGTTTGACTTTTATTTGACAGACTTGCCTGAGATGTTATAGTTTGAGCAATGGCTTGCAGTAAGACAGGGGAAATACCAACATCACTTGCATTAGCCATCATTCGAGGTACGTCTTTTTACATCTGCAAAGCATGAATCAATATCTCTTGAAAATATCAATTGCATTTTCTGACAATAATTTGCACAACCAAATTATATATTTCAAGCATGGGCTTTCAATAGAAGGGTAGGCAACTTCCCATATTTCATATATAAGTATTGTTCTGGGTTTTCAAAATTGGAGAAGAAATGCTTCCTGCACACATTCCAAGGAAGATCTTGTTTTGTACATGTTGATAATTTAATTGAAAATGGAATTCATCATAACTATGGCAATAATGAAACTGGACATTCCCCCAGCCACAAATTATATGTTCAAGGGAATGTGTTCTTGAATAATTACCCACAATGCAACATTCCAAGAGAACATTTTGATACCTCTTTTCCTTATTGATCTTTTTTGTTTACTTTTAAATGAGATTAATCATGTTTCATGGTTAAGGTACAGCTGGAAAATAACATTTTGGTAATAATTGCTATACCTGCACATGTTATTTTCTGGTACAAAATAAAGTATGAAGGCATGTGTCAATTTCCTTGCTTTTTTCAGGAAAGTATCATTACATTGTCTTCTTTTAGAATATTTGGTAGGAGTGTAATGGAACTCCAGGAAATTCTGATATTTCACACTTTCTATTTTTCAAAATTTTCTTTCAAAACACAGGAGCTACCATTGACCTATTTCCAGGTTTACTAAAAGTAGACAGTGTTATGATACTTTCCTGAAAAAAGCAAGGAAATACACACATGCCTTCATACTTAATTTTGTACCAGAAAATAACATGTGCAGATTTTATATCAAAATGTTACTTTCCAGCTGAACCTTAAATCATATTCAAAATTGATGTTTCTTCAAGATAATCCAAAGACCATATACTTTAATCTAAATCTTTTTGAATTATTACGGAAGCATGCCACAGCTCATTTTGAAGTTCTCATCGTAATAACACAGAGTTGCATACCCTTCTATTGAAAGCCCATGTTTCAAGTTATTCAATAGACAGTAGTGAGATAACATTTTTAAGAAAAAGCAAAAATTGGGTTACATGTAGATCTATTTTCAAGATCCTTGATCCTTTGAATCTTCATCCTACATCTGTCCTTACAATTTAGTTAACAATATCATACTAAAAAAACACTTTGCAACATTATACGGAATTCGAACATGACTATATTCATGTCTTCTATAAACTGTGGACAAAATCAATAGTTCACCCGATATGTATTCATCGACACTGCCTGGTAATACTAAATAATGTGTGATGTCATAACGAACAGTCGTTCTGGATACAGAAAATGTTTGTGCCTAGCCCTGTGGTTTGTATTCATTGATACAACACCTGCTATTCCACAGTTAGCATGATATTTTAAGGATAACATGTCAAAATAAAAACTGTATTTTTGTAATCAGTGGTAAAATATGATATTTTTGACAAATTTTCACTTAACCATAGCATACAGTGTTTTAGCCATGACATACGGCGCTGTATGCTATGAATTATGGATTTTTGTTACTTCAGACTCAAAACGAGGCTAAGTGTCAATATCGCCAGATCGTTTGGAAAATTCAAATTAAATCACTTAATTTCCGACGATTCTGATGGATGACTTTATCTATGGAATAAAAAGAACATCCTCTATTGATTTGGTCTATATTTCTTAAATATATCTTTACATGTTTTTGATATTAGCCAACTGTTGCAATGTGGTCATTTGAATTTGATTGCTTATTTTTTAGTTTCAAAGGAAATAGGCAAGGAAATTGTAAGGAAGACTTTAGGCTAGTACTTACAGTCTGTTACACTGCTTCAAAGGCAAGCAGTTAAACCTGAAATATAAGAAATCTAAATAATATTGTGCAATAATATATAGAAAACATATTCATATTGCACACAAATGACATTTGTATATGTTGGATTGCTTGTAAATTAGCTCATAAAATTATGTAACCTCTTATATTTTGATGCTTCTCTACCATGTTAATTCTCGAAAAAATAACATGGCGGACAGACCTCAAATTACAAGAGGGCATAGGCTTATTGCACTAAACACAAAATAATCTGAAATATACAAATGTCATTCGTGTGCAATATGAATATATTTTTCTGTAGCTATATTAGTCTGGCACAATGGTCTATATTTCTTATTTTTCAGGTTCAACTGCTTGCCTTTGAAGCAGTGTAATAGAATGTAGTTATATGTAGCCAAAATCCATGATGATATATTAAGGATATAGACTATCATCAAGATACTAATTTAGCATGGGCAAATAGATCAATAATACACTCAGTTTGCAGACTAGCAGACATGGTCATGGATAGTTCAAGGTTGGCCTCAAGGTCACTTTGGGCGTGAGGTACATATAGCGACAAATATCTCATTAAATACATGTTTCTAAACAAATATGTGTATTTGAAATAATTAAATAGTTAATACAGATCTTATATTTGTAAATATGAGACAAATGGTCTTTAAATTGAGGAGGAAAAACGAGTTTTGATTGAAACAAAAATCCAGATGGAAACATCAAAACAAGGTCACAAAATACGACGAAAAATAACAACCGACAAAAGATCGATTTATTCTACAAATACACACTGAAACTCAATAAATGACGTACAAACAATAGTTTTGATATAAATATACACTTACCAAATGGTTATGGTGATGGATTGGCGCTATATCAGGAGAATTATCATTCTTAAATCACAATGAGAAAATGTTGTCAAAGAAAGCGGCCATGACCCTCCAATATGTAGCGTGACTCGAAAGCAAATTCATCGTTATTTATTACAGTTACAATTATCAAATGGTTCATCTGAAACGATCAAGTTTGATATATGTTTCCAGGGTGCTATTTATTACTACGATAATTAGTTTTGAACTTTATCTGGCCGGTTGGCTTGATTTTGGTCATGTGATTAAATTGTATGGAACCGAGCTAATACAATTTTCTTTGGAGCTCATATTAATACAGTCTTTGTAATTTCGTCTAGTACTGAAATGTATTGTCAGCATTTCTCCCGGGAATAACGTCCAGAGGGGTCATTCATCCTATCGCAATCGCTCACGATGTCACTGCGACGTCGCAGTCTTTGCAAATTGTTGAGTTTGAAATTCAAAACTGGCACAAAATTTAGTAATTTGTTTACTTTTGTCGTTAGGGCATGGTCTACATTGCCTTACGAACAGAACGCCCGACAGAGCGAATACTGGATTGTCCGGCTAGATTTTGGTCCTAGCTGTTCAATCAATGTATAGATTAGTGTTGTCGCGATTAATCGATACATCGCGATATACATCGCCAAAGCTGATTCTGGCGATGCATCGATGTCTGAAACAAAACATCGATGTTTTTAAAAAAAAAAAAATTGCTAAAAATCACCCGTTCTTATCTTATTTTGACGCAAATCGCTTACCTTTCTCATGTCTTATTTCATTTTCCAATGTTTTCTGATATTCTTTCGCTTTAAAACTGTTTTAGCTAGTCGAAATGAACCATTAATCTAAAAAAATTACTTTACTTTCATTTCACCCTTACTAGAAGTTCCCGGATGTACCGGATGTTCGGTATTTTAGTGCATTATCGTTCGGTATTTCAGTGCACTTTTCTCGGACTTTTTCGCGATGTACATCGCGATGTGCATCGATGTTTACTACTGAAAATTGCCGATGCATCGATGTACGATTATGGCACATCGCGACAACACTAGTATAGATGTCGTATTATAGTACTTGCCCGTAGCCAGCTTTTACAAGCAGGAGGGGGAGCTTTTTTCAGCGGGGGGGGGGGCTTTTTCACAATTTTGGCAAAAATCATGCGAAAAATTCATGGTGCGGAAAAACCGGCTGCATGATTTTGTAAGAATTTCTGGCCGGCTGGGGCCTGAGCTTCCCCCAGCTATTATTTTGTTATTAGCTTTTAGCATATTGCATCAAATGAAACTAAAATTGTCTGTGACCATTCTTGTCTTAGTTTCCCTTAGATGATTTATATTAATAAATTGAATGCATGTCCAGGAGACTATATTTTCCGGGTAATTCTGTCCCCGAGACAACTTTTCCTTAATCTTTCTGGTTCATCTGTCCCCGAAACCAGTTCTTTTAATTTTTCTAGTTATGTGTTTCAAGTGTCCAGGGGGTGCTATATCGTTTTATTACATCTGCCCCATTATTCGGGTTATAACACGATCGGCATCACCACGCCCGTTTAATATTTCTTTTGGGGAATTATTCATCCATTTTGCTATAAACAAACGTAATATAACCAGATGGGGACCAGTGTTTAAGACAGAGAGAAAGTGACAAGGAGGGAAGAAATTGAATCCTTGGGTGGACTATCGATGGGCATAAACTGAAAATGTATCTTCGAATGGCGGATATGATGAATGATGATGAATAATGATTAAAATATAATGATGTACATGTAATGATCAAAATTAACGAATAAAGATTGAAACAGAAATATAATTAAAACTATTTTTTCTCTTAAACGCTACTCTTAAAGTTACTCTTTATTTTTTAATTTATCATCCATCATTCAGATTTTTACAGAAGAATTGCTGAATTCCGTTTCCGAGTTGCTATGGAAAGCACTTTCCCGCTGATTTTAATATATAAATAATACCTTAACAATGTTTCTGGATAGTTTGACAAATGTCCAATGACTAATTTAATTTTAAGTATGTGACGATTAAACGATATGGAATAACAGTATTACATTGTATGTCAATGAAATATTATTTTAGCAAAGTTCAATACATGTCCAAGGACATTTTTTACCAGAAAATGTGGTCATGAATGAAGGTTAAAGAGACCATAATTTGGTACTTATAGTCCACCCCGGGCATCAAATTCTAGCGAATGGACTAAAATACCTAAGGAAATATAGTCCACCGGCCTTGTTATTCTAGATAATATCGTCCCGGACTTTATTTTCCAGGACAGTCAGTCAAATCGGTCCGGTCGTTCAATGATGGCGGATGATCAATAAACAGTTAGCTGCTCCTGCTTATAATTAGAAAACTAGGTCTTTCGGTTCCCTCTTATCGTCGGGCAATATCGGAAAGAATTATCAAAATTGGTACACCCCGGAAGAAATGAACGGAGGGAGAGGACCTGATTTTCGCAAGAAAACAACAGATTTATTTTTTAAGAGAACGTTTAAAATTGAATCGCTTAATTATTGAATAGGCGCACGACAAGGGAAAATATATTAGCACCCTGGGTATAGTCTGTCACGTGACTTCATGGATGACGTGTGCGCGAGTGATTCGCATTTTCTTTCGCTTGAGGTTTGTAATCACACTTTTTACATGTTTTAAGATTTTGTATCTCTGTGAAACTTGTCCCGTACCATCAATGTCTGAAGACGACCTAATTCACCAAATATCTCATCCAAGCGTGTCCCGGTTAAAGAGAAATTCGCACTTTTGTGTCTCGCAAAATGACGTGTGCGCGAGTAAATCGAATTTTACGAAGGATGGGTGCGCGAGTCTAACATATTTATATTCATTTTAAACAATTCTGCAAGCTAAGGCAGAATACAACTCACGTGACATTTGTTTTTGTCATCTTAAAGTAGTATGTTAAAGAATAGTTTGCTATTTTGTAGATGTTTCATGTATGGCACATACATGTCTACGTTTAATGACAATAAATGTTTTGAAATAGCTTGTAGGGCTGTCCGGCATTGCAGGTGAATTAAAATTTGAACCAAAAATTGAATTAAATTTTTGGCGGTCTCATAAAACCGGCAGCATATTCATTTATTGACATCCCATACAAGGGGGGGGGGTCAGAGTTGTTATGTGGTTACTCGGCATCCGCCACGATCAGAACCATGTAAGGAATTGTAAGGGGAAGCCCATGATACCAAGTAATATCAAATAATTATAGGAGCTTCTAACTTCTTCCGCACCCCCACCCTTGGTATACGCAGCTGACAAAATGGATCGGTACGGGTCAAAAGCTGGACCGGTACGGGTTAACGGTTTTATTTGAATTTAAAACAGCTATAACTTGCTCAATATTGACTTCTTCGTATCTAAGTTGAAATATATGATCCCTCCGAATGATTTTAAGTACCCCCAAAGTTCACCCGTACAGGTCCAGCTTTTGACCCATACCGGTCCATTTCGTCAGCTGCGTATACCAAGGGTGGGGATGCGGAAGAAGTTAGAAGCTCATATAATTATTTGATATTACTTGGTATCATGGGCTTCCCCTTACTATTCCTTACATGGTTCTGATCGTGGCGGATGCCGAGTAACCACATAACAACTCTGACCCCCCCCCCCCCCTTGTATGGGATGTCAATAAATGAATATGCTGCCGGTTTTATGAGACCGCCAAAAATTTAATTCAATTTTTGGTTCAAATTTTAATTCACCTGCAATGCCGGACAGCCCTACAAGCTATTTCAAAACATTTATTGTCATTAAACGTAGACATGTATGTGCCATACATGAAACATCTACAAAATAGCAAACTATTCTTTAACATACTACTTTAAGATGACAAAAACAAATGTCACGTGAGTTGTATTCTGCCTTAGCTTGCAGAATTGTTTAAAATGAATATAAATATGTTAGACTCGCGCACCCATCCTTCGTAAAATTCGATTTACTCGCGCACACGTCATTTTGCGAGACACAAAAGTGCGATTTCTCTTTAACCGGGACACGCTTGGATGAGATATTTGGTGAATTAGATCGTCTTCAGACATTGATGGTACGGGACAAGTTTCACAGAGATACAAAATCTTAAAACATGTAAAAAGTGTGATTACAAACCTCAAGCGAAAGAAAATGCGAATCACTCGCGCAGACGTCATCCATGAAGTCACGTGACAGACTATACCCAGGGTGATTAGGTCTTCTAGGTTTTTTTAACAATGATCGATAGGCTTCTAAGATGATAAAACTTTTCAGGTGGAAGAGCATGATGGTCTCAGGAAGAATTCGAACTCAGTAACAACTGGATGTTACAACTCTGAAGAATGAAAAATAGGGACAAATGGAGTTAGTGGAAATAAGTCAACCATCTCTTATCGTATGACTCGGACTCATAAAAATTTATTTGAGAGAGAAACTCTTAGATGGTATTGTTAATATACTACCTATTGATTTATCAGTTCAATTATTGAACACTACTGAAGATATCATAGTAGAAACGTTACTAGGAAGCACGACTGATGAACTTCAAAATTGCCAAGATGATACAATTGAACAGCTCCTATTGAATAGTGCATATTACATTGATCTAATGGTTAAAACAGTTATCAAACAAACAGAAATGTAAAAACTCGAAATGTAAATCTATATGTAACAATATGTACAAATGTAAATAATATGTTAATGTGAATTGTCTGTAATTATATGTAATGTTTAAATCTTCACCTATGTGGAGGAAATAAAGACACTGAACTGAACTGAACCATAAACCATCTGACCAACTCACCCCGGATTAGCGTGACTACGGTAAAGTCAGATACCGTTGTCACAAATGGCGGACATAACCGTCGCTACAATTAGATTTTTATGAACTGTATGTTTGATAGAGCACCAAGACTAAATTCCTTTGGAACAACAATCAATCAAAGTGTCTTAATACTCATTGTACAGTTAATCATGTTCTACCATCGAAATAAAGTCATTAATACCGATCAAAATGAGATACGGGACAACGGACACTGAAATTACGATATGCCGTTGTCTTTCTAAATTACTCAAATTCAGATTCCGTTGTCATTGACGATATCGAAGAGGCTATATTGTGGCGATTCACGACCCAATTTGATCGAAAATGGGATTTCATATGATACATTATCACAAGAGCTTAATGCATGCACAGAATTAACGACGATAAAATCCCATGAAATGAGGACCAAGTGATTAAACAGTTGAAGCGACGGTTATGTCCGCCATTTATGACAACGGTATCTGACTTTACCGTAGTCAGGCT